CCGCCCAGGCCTCAGCAGGTGCGTGGGCGAGGCGGGCCAGTTGCCGGGCATCTCCTTCTGTCCCCCAGTCTCGATGCCACCTCGAAGCTGCCATGTGCTCTGAAGCTCGATGCTCGGCTGCTCCGACTGCCAGCCCGCTCATGTGTCCGCACACATCCAGCAAGCGCCTACTGTGTGCAGGTCGGGGGCCGCTCCAGGCAGACTGCTACGAGCCATGCTTGCAGCAAAGACAGGCACAGATGGCACAGGCCTGCCCTGCTCTGCAGGCTGGGCGCGGGGTGGGCATGGGCATTTTCTGGGTGGTTTGGGGGCACACCTCTGGCGGAGGGCCTTAGGCGGGGTGGCCCGAAGATAGTGGAGGCTCAGAGTGGTGACGGGATGGTCTCACGGGCCGTGGGTGAGGGCCAGCCGTCTAGCAGGCCTGGCCAGCCAGAGCCCCCACTTGGCCTTGAAGCCGGCGTTTACAGACTTACCCAGCTGGGAGTTGCCCAGGGATCCACCACCTGCAAGTCTCCTGGGCCCTCTGCTGGGAAGGTTGGGGTGCAGGCCTTTGTGACCCATACTTCACCCTGGGGTGTGGGACCTGGGCTCCTGGGGACTCAGGCAGCCAGGCCTCCCAGCCTGCTCCGTGCCAGGCACTTCTCCTGTCCAGGGTGGAGACTTGGCCCCTGGTGGCTGCTCCTGGAGCAAGTCACTGGATGGACAAGGATGGGTGCCCGGTCCAGGCCCCACTGGTGCGTCCCCCGCTGCCCGGGGCAGCTGGAGAGACTGGGTGAGGTTCCCAGTGCATCACAGAGCGGCACGACCTGCACCCAAGGGGCAGGTGCCGCAGACGGGGACGTGGCCAGCAGAGCCGCCTCTACGAGGGAGTATGGGTGGGGGTCTGGCCTTGTGCTGCTGAGGAGTCCTGGGGGACTTAGAGAGGGGTGCAGTCACCTGAGTTTTATTGAAATGATGCAGACGGTCATTAAGCCTTTGAGTCCAGAACTTGGGGCCAGCTGTGGCAGCCTGGCCTCCCTGGTGACCCTGGGGGACAGGTGGGCTCCCACGTGTGGGCCTGGATGAGGGGCCACTCCGGTGTCCAGGCCACACCTTCCTCTGCCAACGTGTTTTCTCCATTTCCCTGAACACAGGTGGGCTAGAAGCCTCTGTGACATTGCAGGCCAGCTGTCCTAACCTGTGGGCACTGCCAGGCGGTGCGGGCACAGCCTGGCCTCACGGAGGGGCCAGGCCCCGTGTGTGAACGCAGACCACAGTGCTGCCATGCCCTGTGTCCCTGGGTCCAGTGAAGGTCTTCCTGCTGGGGGCGGGTTGCTGAGGGCTTTCTGGGACAGTGGCCTGGGCTGACGCCGCCCGCAGGCCTAGAGGCAGCACAGCTGAACGAGAGCACAGACGGCTCAGCTGTCTGGTCAGCCTCACTTCCCAGCTGAGGGACGGCGTGGTGATGACTGTGCCTCGTGAGCCGTTGCAGGGGTCTGGGAGCTGCAGCCCTGCAGCCCCAGGCACCCGCTCTGCCCGTGCAGCTGGGCTCTGCAGCTGGGAGCAGTGTTTACCCACCCGGCCGTCGTGGGTGTGGCCTGGGCAGGGCAGCTGCTGGGGAAGGAAGTGTGGCTGCCTGCTCTGCCACAGTCCCCGGCCTTCCCTGTGCACAGTGGGCCATTCCACAGGGCTGCCACTCCCGTGCCCCACAGGCCTTCGTCCGGGGCAGAGGGGGTGTGCACACCAGTGAGGGCAGGGGTGCGCCTGCTTCCTGGCTCTGGGCCCTACTCCAAAGCCCCTCCCCAGTCTCATGGCCTGGCAGAGGCTTGCGGGGGAGGGGAGATCAGCCAGCCCACCCCAGACCCCCACTGCAGGCTCTGGCCAAGGGCCCTGTGTCTGTCCTAAACATGCGGGACCCCCGAGGGGCATGTGCCATAAACAGGACAAAATCCTCCCTGGACTGGAGCCATGGGGACTTTGCGGGGCAGCTTGCCCCAGTGCCAGCCACCCAGGCATGTGTGGAGACAGGTGGCCCAGGCCGGCTGGCCAGGACACAGGCCGTGCCCGGCTCCTGCAGAGGAGGGCTCCTGGGAGGGGGCGGGAGCAGTGCTGCCCAGGGCCCTGCTGTTGGGATCCCCAAGTGCCAGGTGGCGGGAGGGGCTCTGCTCCAGCACAGGCAGGTGGCACGGGGGTGCAGGCCGGGGTGCCAGGGGCAGTGGGGCGTGCAGTCCACGGAGAGGGCGTGGGCTAGCTCTGGGAGGACTGCACAGGGACCCGGGACGGTGGGACGGTGACCGAGCAGACGAAGAGGGTGTCGCATGCCTGCGACGGGGGGGCAGGACTTGGGCTTGGGGGGCGGCCTCAGGAACACCCCTCTAGACCTCCTGGACGGTGGGACCCCTGGTCTGTGGGCCCCAGACTGGTAGAAGAAGAAAATTAATGTGACTTGCAGGCTCTTAGCAGTGATGTTGAATCAAACAGAACTGGCCAGTGTCCAGGTAGATGGCAGACGTGCCCTGAGTCAGTCATTTCGTCCACACAATGGCATAAGGACAGCACGGGAGTCGACAGCCCCTGGGGCCTGCGCCTGGCCTGTCTCATCGGCCGCCGTTGCCGGCTCTGCGTTCTGTGCTCATGCGGCTGCACCCTGCTCCCGCATGGCCACATCCTTGTCCGAGGATTGGGGTGAGCCACCCGTCCGTGGGGGCCTGGGACGGGCTGGAGACGGTGGTGGGCGGTCGGCCCCTCTCAGCGCCCTTGGATTCTTCTGGAGGTCAGCAAATGGAGACATCGCCTGGATGTCAGCAAGCAGCAGAGCTCACTTGCCTGCCCTGCTCGCTGGTTGAGCTTGAGGAAGGTAAAGATGCGACATTGCAACCCCCGATGCTCGTAACCAAAAGTCTATTTTTGCGCTTAAAAAAATCACAGCTCGGAGCTAAAGCAGTCTCCCCGATGCGTCGCGTTTGTTTGAAAGGTGCACGTGTTCGCGGCTGCAGAAAGGTGCAGGCCGTCTGGGCCTGGCCAGGTCACCTGGGCGGCGCCAGCACCAGCTGGCTCTGAGTCGGTGGCCTCCACAGTGGACGCGCCTCGTGGTGGGCGCAGCAGCCGGGCCTGCGGGTGCCCCTCCACTTGAGAAGGCCCGCTGCCCCCCGACTTCCAACAACGACCCGAAGCCATCAGAAGTGCTGAGACCTCTGAGCGGGGCTGCCTGGCCCAGGCTTCTGGGGGAGAGCGGGCCCCTGGCCGGGGCACGTTTTGCAGGGAGGTGCCGGCCACTCGGCAAGGCCTCAGCTCTGGGTCTTCGTGCCTTTCTGAGTGCCCGTCCCATAGGTCACGTGGCTGCTGCCGGACTCAAAGCTGGACATCCCGAGGGAAGGGCCTGGGGGTGCCAGGCAGGAGGGGTCATTCCAGGTTGTGCTGGGCAAAGGTGCCGTGGGTGTCGCGCTCACCTGAGGGCAGTGGAAATGGTCGGGGCCAACACAGCCTTTGGGCGGGGGGCGGAGGGGTCACTCCCAGGCCCAGGGCCCTGGTGGGTGGCTGAGCCCTGTCCTCTGGGCTGCAGAGGCTCCAGCCGTGTCCCCCACCCCCAGGCTCACCAGACACGTGGGACCAGGGTCCTACGGCTGTCCTGGGATGAGGGATGCTCCAGGGGCTTAGGGTCTGAGCGAGCAGGTGAGGGCTGTGAGCAAGGGGCCGCGGGTCACAGAGGGCCGGATCCCACAGGCCGGGTCCGGCCATGTCGCAGCGCCTCAGGCTCCCCGAGCCCCTGCGCCCCGCTGGGGTCCTGGGGGTCTCCCGCGGCCAGGCCGTGCTCCCCTTGTGTGGACAGCCAGGCCTGTCAGACGAGAAGAGGCCTTGGCGCCAGCCACCTGACGTCACGCGCGCCTTCGCCTGGGACGGCCACACGGCGTGAGCCTGGGCCCTGTGCCTGTGTTGGAAGCCCAGAGATACCTCCAGGCACTCCAGGCGGGGCCCACACCCGTCCTGTGGGCCGCGGGTGGGGGGCAGAGACAGCGGGGTCACCGCCATCTGACTGTCCTTCCTCTCTCCCCTCCGCCAGGTCCGGCCTCTTCGGCCTGCCCCCGTCCACCCCGCTGCCCCAGGCCGAGCACACCCCTGTCAACGGCTGCCAGGGTTCAGCCCCTGCAGAGGGGGACACAGAGGCAATGCAGCTGGGGACGGTCCCCCCACCGCCCGCCTGCCCCGAGCCACCCCAGCCCCTGGCGCCGCCACCGCCTGCCGGAAGCCTGGCCCCGTTCCCGCCGTACTTCGAGGGCGCCCCGTTCCCACCTCCACTCTGGCTGAGGAACACGTACCGGCAGTGGGTGCCACAGCCGCCACCCAGGACCATCAAGAGGACGAGGAGGCGCCTGTCCCGCAACCGTGACCCGGGCCGGCTGGCCCTGAGCCCCATCTGCCTGCGGCCACGCCGCGTCCTCTGCGAGAAGTGCAAGA